CATCCACTTCAACCTCCAAGGCAGTATACCGTGTCCTTTGCAGACGAAGCTGATCTTCAAGGAGAGAACTAGACCTTTCTAGCTCCAGCTCCACTTGTCCAGCGTGCTCAGGCAGGGAACTGTACGCGGACTGGAGAACTCGGCTCTGCAGCAGCTGCTTGGCTCGAAGATGTGCTCGTGAGGGCAGTGACAGTGAATTTATGATGTCATGGCCGGGACCATTCGCCAGTAGCACAGCGAGCCCCTTCCGGCGTGAGCTTGCCAGGTTCCTGTCCTCTTCATTGGACGTAGCATTGATTAACGTGTCGGCACAGCGAGAGATGCATTCCCGCAAAACCTGGTTTTCCAGGTCCAATTGCTCCACCCACTCAGCAATCTGCTTTGCTTCCAATGACTTAGCATCGCTTCCTTGCATCATCTTGAAGTCCGGAAAGACATGGAAGGACCAAGTCTGACTAAGGCTAAGGACAGTGTACCGCAAAACCACAAAGGCTGGAATCTGTGATGTAATTACATGCAGTACTTCCAAGTCAAAGTTGGCTTGCATGAGCCAAAAGCAACATGAAACTGCACGTGTGCACACAACCGTCACGGCGAATCTGCAGAATAATGCTATACGCTTGGAGCGAGCTTTAGACCACGCCGTCTCACGTCAGCAGTTACACTTTGGCCGGTGCAAGTCCACTTGAGGGAGCTGCTTCGGCATGCAAGGGAGGCTGGAAGGCTACAAACTTGTTGCATCACGTCGCCCAACGAAAGCTCAGCGAACATACCAGATCTCGTCAGAGCCAAGCATGATCCTGACCGCGCGCTGAAGCTGCCATGGTCACAGGACTCATGCGCAAACGGGGCGACGGATGAATTCCTATACAACATGCGGTTTACCAACGGCGGCGTCGGGGTCATATTGGCAAGATGATATCCTGGCTCTGCGAGATTGCACAGTGACACATGGTCTGGTCTACTGTCTACTATATAGTATGCATCCAACTGCAACAGTTGACGAAAGGCCCGATACTCGACAACTGCCGCCGGCCTCATCGATGACAGTGCTAGACGAAAGGTCGGAGGTCTCTTCCTGCATGGCACGGGATTTGCAAGTGCGCTGGTCCTGGCCCTGGACGCCACTGGCTGCTGGACCTCCTCCTCGTCTCCGTGCATCGTGTTACCCAAATCAAGCTTGTCTTTGTCTTCTGTATAACCTTCAGAGTGTCCAGCCGCTAGGCGCATACCATGAGTGAAGCAAGTGCTTACTTTCGGGAGGACAATTGTGAGAGTTGATTTGCTCTGGCCTTTCACGGTGTAGTAAGTGAAATAGTGAACCACCTGCCATCTGAAGGTACCCGAGTCAGGAGCTCAGTTTGCACAGCATGAAACTGCCGTCAATGAACCTTCTAGTGTAGGAGACTGCGCACCTCAGACGACACCAAAAGCCACTGCCCGACGCCCATGTCAACCTGGACGTACTGCCTCGAGGCAACTTCCACGCGTCAAGGCAGAGCTCCGCTGCTTTGGAAGCTTCCAAAGCTCGGCCTGTACATGGCCATGCACATCGTGACGATCAGGACGCCCATGCACGTGACATCAACCATCGACCTGAAGCGACAAACAGCACAAGTTGACAAAGCCGCTGCGACCTTGTCCACTGAACAGCACTGTGGTCCTATGTTCCGTTCACGACCTGAGGTCGTAAGCCGTCGTGATATCCAATCATTTCGGGGGTGCTGAATTTGGAATGCTTCGAAATCGACCGATTGAGTGACTGGCCCAACAGCTCCCAACTGGTTTTAGATTATCGAGCTCCTAAACACGCAGCAGGCGGACGACTCTGCAAAGTCCCAGCAGAACTCGATCAGATCAAATCGGAGCCATGGAAGATCTTTTTAAAGCTGAAAGCAAGTCTCAATGCCTAGATCTGAAGTTCTCCACGAAAAGCTTTCGAAACATGTGACGCGACAGCCCTGGTACATGGCATGGACCTTGGCACCGGACAGTTTCTTCAGAACCCACGATAGCTGCATCCAACCTTCAGCAACCAGCTAAGAGACGAGCGACCACGAAACTGTCGAACAACTGGCACAAACAGTGCAACTTTTGATCGACTTCCACAACGCGCGCCATTTCGGTACCAGCGATGTGTCGCGAACTATCGACCACGCAGGCTGCGAGAGCGGCTGCTGTCCTGAGCCAGTCAGAATACCGCACGCGATCGCACACGTCTAACAGCTCACCAATTCGGACCGCCGGCGGCAAGGAGCTACAAGTACCTCGTGTGTGCACGGCATGACATCGTCCTGGGCACGTTGGATCGAGGCCTTGGCATTCGCCAAAGCCTTCGCAGATTGACTGTTGCTCATGCAAAATCCGAGCCAGCCGTCCGATGCCTGAACATCCCGTTCTCTTGCGGCCACTCTGTCATCCCAGTTTCCCAGCAGCCATGCCTGGGTTACACCGCAAACGATGATTCTGCAAGGAGGGCGTTGGCTGCGCCGATGCTATCTGTGGTGCATCTAGGGTCCTGGCGCATTCGCTGTCCAAAGAAGCCTTTAGCTCCTGCAGGTACAACTTGCGGATCATCCTGAAGCCACTTGGAAATCCTCGCGTTGTGCCTTATCAGGGATTGGATCTCGTTGTTTTTGAGAAGCGATCTAGAGGGCCTTTGTTGAAGTCCCTACAGGAGCATGTCCTTTTGATCTCGTTCTTCTCGGTGCTGCGAGGCCTCTTGCAAAGCTTGCGAAGCGGGAAGTAACCTTCAGGGCGGTGTCTCGATGAGGTCCCAGCACTTCGCTCCTTGAAAGCTACCAGCTCCGTCTCCAGGGAAGCCTCGTGGCAAGGCCGGGAGGGAGGGAGAGAGCAGAGAGCTCCCCTCGCCGCATGTGACTTAGTCGGAGTGGGGTAGCGAGGTAGCCACGGTGAACCTGAAGGCATCAGGTACCTGTCAGTGGCCTTCGCTTGCTGCTTTGAGATCAGGAGGGACATTTGCCTAGATCTTCGCTTCGAAGCATCCTGCCGATCACGCTGCCTTGCTGCATTATCTGCACCATGACACAGCAGTTGTGAAGACTGCAACATACACTGCACTTCCTTCAAGAAATTCTGGTGGTCCAACTGCCCGGTCGCTTCGGCTTTCTCTGCTTCTGCAACTTCATCATCAAGGTCTTTCACCAGCTTTCGAAGCAAAAGGATGACCTATCCAACTCGTTTGGAGTGACTAGTCGTCTGCCCGGGTCGACGAATTGCTGCTGACAGCACAAACAGCAGTTGTCCAAGCACAAAGGCCGCCTTCTCCGACAGGGCTTGGCCACCCGAAGACGTGAAGTCCGTCTTGGGTGCATTTCCTGGAAGCGCCTGAAGCAAGCGCCTCCGGGCCTTGCAGGGAAGGCGCTGCGAGCTTTTCCGGACTTACGTGATCTACGCGCACAGCAGACCGCTCGCCCCAGAATGGCCTCAAGTAGACTTTGACGACTGTCCGCTACATACGTCGCACGTAGCCGCAGAATCGCCTTCTGCAGCAGGTCCTCATCACTCACGCCATATGACACGACAGCAATGCCTGTCGCCGCTTGTAAAACTGAAGAGTCCTTTGCGTCGGTAGCGTCTGCCTTGAACTTCTGAAACTCCGCTGTTTCCTGGCGTCGGAGGCTCTCGGCCTCCTTTTTGGAGGCTTCCAGCGCCTTGCGCGAGGCCGCTGGAGCAAACTCGCAAAACCCACTGCACAGAACTCAGAACTTCGTCCTGAAGAGAATTCGTCCCCTTCTTGATTTCCTGTTCTGCCAGCTCTTGCTTTTCGCGAAGATCTCCTGATACTCAGACAAGATCCCGATGCGACCCCTTCCCGTCTCTCTGCAGGCCAGGCGTCTCAGCACAGACTCGCCATCCTCATGCTTTGAGCTGAGTTCAGCAGCCTGCTGAGCCAGTCTGCTGTACTGTGCCTGGCAGTAAAGCTTCTTCTGCTTCTCGGACATTTCCTCCTTTGCCAAGTTTGCCACGTGCTTCTCGATTCCAGTGATAACTTTCTTTAGGCCCTTGTTATTACCTCGCATGGCCAGCCATACAAACTCCGTGCCAAGACGTGGACCGGAGTGCACCTGGAGTAGACTGAGGCCACCAAGGCCCGCAGGACCAAATTCATTCCCTTTGTCCAGAAGCCCCAAAGTTCTGGGAGTATCCGCGCCAGAGCGATCTGGGCTCAGCAATGCCTGGGTCTCGGAAATTGCGGCAAGTTCATCGCCACGCCTAGCTTCCGCCTTCTGCCAGTCGTCGCCTTTATGCCGACACACCTCCTTCAGGTCATCCAGTGACTGCTGGTCTTCATCCACCTGCTGGCTGCTTTCCTCAAGGTCTTTCTTCAACTGCACCAGCCGAATCTTGAGATCGCTGAGCCGGCTGTCCTTCTGCCGAATTTGCTGCTGCAAGGATCGGCGCTCCTTCACCTTCGACGTCTCCAGGTTCCTAAATTCAATAGCCGATGACTGCTCGGACTGGAGAATCTCCTTGTAGTCCCGCGCAATGTCAGCTCGAAGCTTTCTGAGAGTTCCCAAAGCCTCTGGAGCTGAGAGGCTCGCGACGAAGCTTTGGTCCGTGAAGGTCTCCCGCCTTTCCAGGATCTGCTGAACCTCTTTCTGAAGAAAGTTAGTGCCTGCACCGGTTTGGATCCGGCTGATTGCATCATCCATCAGTCGCAAGTGTTCCGAGAGCTCTCTGGCTCGCCCCTTGTTTTCATCACCTCAGCACCGGACGGGCCATGCAGTCACAAGGTGCATTGCCAGGGAGACTCATGCACGCAAGTTTACGCCGGACGACTAGTGCGCTGCCGGATCTGACGAGCTTCTTGGGTTCCCTCCAGCACGGACTTCTCATCCCGGACGTGCTGCTCGAGCTCTGCCTGCAAGCTGCTCCTCTGGCCGTCGATCTCGCTGATTTCCTGACACATGCTCCAAGCTCAGTTGTGCCAGGAAGAATCCCAGCGCAAAGAAAGCACACAACTATGTGACAAGCCACAGATTTCATAGGCTCAATCAGCCGGTTGACTGTCTCAATCTTGTCAGCGAGAGATACCGTATTTGTGTTGCAGTAGCACTGGAATTTGTCAAAGAGCTCTGCCTGCTGCCGTCCTTCGTCCAGGATCTTCTCCCTCATTGCACCGAGAAGATCCATAACTTCCTTGAGTTTCCTGAAGGGAGGTCCAGTTGCCAGTCTTGTCGCTGATCCGCTCCACAAGGAGGATGATACCATTAGCATCATCATCTGCACGGTACGAGACATTGTAACGAACCTCTGCGGTGCACGGGTCATCAAAAGCCAGGTCTAGCCGCTGCTTAGAAACCTCGTCGGAGGCCACCATCCCTGAACACGTTATGTATCCAAGGCACATACTGGGAGCGCACCCGCAAGGAGGCGGGAAGAGGAGAGAAACTA